CTTCCTACCTGACAATAACAATGTGGGGACGGAGTAGGTCTCCGTCAGTGTACGACAGAGGTTAGTACATGGACTTCCTACCTGACAATAACAATGTGGGGACGGAGTAGGTCGTCGTCAGTGTACGACAGAGGTTAGTACATGGACTTCCTACCTGACAATAACAATCTGGGGGACGGAGTAGGTCGTCAGTGTACGACAGAGGTTAGTACATGGACTTCCTACCTGACAATAACAATGTGGGGACGGAGTAGGTCTCGTCAGTGTACGACAGAGGTTAGTACATGGACTTCCTACCTGACAATAACAATGTGAGGGACGGAGTAGGTCTCGTCAGTGTACACGACAGAGGTTAGTACATGGACTTCCTACCTGACAATAACAATGTGGGGACGGAGTAGGTCTTGTCAGTGTACGACAGAGGTTAGTACATGGACTTCCTACCTGACAATAACAATGTGGGGGACGGAGTAGGTCTCGTCAGTGTACGACAGAGGTTAGTACATGGACTTCCTACCTGACAATAACAATGTGGGGACGGAGTAGGTCTCGTCAGTGTAACGACAGAGGTTAGTACATGGACTTCCTACCTGACAATAACAATGTGGGGACGGAGTAGGTCTCGTCAGTGTAACGACAGAGGTTAGTACATGGACTTCCTACCTGACAATAACAATGTGGGGACGGAGTAGGTCTCCGTCAGTGTACGACAGAGGTTAGTACATGGACTTCCTACCTGACAATAACAATGTGGGGACGGAGTAGGTCGTCAGTGTACGACAGAGGTTAGTACATGGACTTCCTACCTGACAATAACAATGTGGGGACGGAGTAGGTCTCGTCAGTGTACGACAGAGGTTAGTACATGGACTTCCTACCTGACAATAACAATGTGGGGACGGAGTAGGTCTCGTCAGTGTACGACAGAGGTTAGTACATGGACTTCCTACCTGACAATAACAATCTAGGGACGGAGTAGGTCTCGTCAGTGTACGACAGAGGTTAGTACATGGACTTCCTACCTGACAATAACAATGTCGGAGTAGGGACGGAGTAGGTCTCGTCAGTGTACGACAGAGGTTAGTACATGGACTTCCTACCTGACAATAACAATCTGGGGACGGAGTAGGTCTCGTCAGTGTACGACAGAGGTTAGTACATGGACTTCCTACCTGACAATAACAATCTGGGGACGGAGTAGGTCTTGTCAGTGTCACGACAGAGGTTAGTACATGGACTTCCTACCTGACAATAACAATGTGAGGAGTAGGTCTCGTCAGTGTACGACAGAGGTTAGTACATGGACTTCCTACCTGACAATAACAATCTGGGGACGGAGTAGGTCTTGTCAGTGTGACACAGAGGTTAGTACATGGACTTCCTACCTGACAATAACAATCTGGGGACGGAGTAGGTCTTGTCAGTGTACGACAGAGGTTAGTACATGGACTTCCTACCTGACAATAACAATCTGGGGACGGAGTAGGTCTCGTCAGTGTACGACAGAGGTTAGTACATGGACTTCCTACCTGACAATAACAATGTGGGGACGGAGTAGGTCTCGTCAGTGTACGACAGAGGTTAGTACATGGACTTCCTACCTGACAATAACAATCTGGGACGGAGTAGGTCTCGTCAGTGTACGACAGAGGTTAGTACATGGACTTCCTACCTGACAATAACAATGTGGGGACGGAGTAGGTCTCGTCAGTGTACACGACAGAGGTTAGTACATGGACTTCCTACCTGACAATAACAATCTGGGGACGGAGTAGGTCTTGTCAGTGTCACGACAGAGGTTAGTACATGGACTTCCTACCTGACAATAACAATGTGGGGACGGAGTAGGTCTCGTCAGTGTAATGCGACAGAGGTTAGTACATGGACTTCCTACCTGACAATAACAATCTGGGGACGGAGTAGGTCTCGTCAGTGTACCCATGCGACAGAGGTTAGTACATGGACTTCCTACCTGACAATAACAATGTGGGGACGGAGTAGGTCTCCGTCAGTGTACGACAGAGGTTAGTACATGGACTTCCTACCTGACAATAACAATGTGGGGACGGAGTAGGTCGTCAGTGTACGACAGAGGTTAGTACATGGACTTCCTACCTGACAATAACAATGTGAGGAGTAGGTCTCGTCAGTGTACGACAGAGGTTAGTACATGGACTTCCTACCTGACAATAACAATCTGGGGACGGAGTAGGTCTCGTCAGTGTAACGACAGAGGTTAGTACATGGACTTCCTACCTGACAATAACAATGTGGGGACGGAGTAGGTCTCGTCAGTGTACGCGACAGAGGTTAGTACATGGACTTCCTACCTGACAATAACAATGTGGGGACGGAGTAGGTCTCGTCAGTGTACGACAGAGGTTAGTACATGGACTTCCTACCTGACAATAACAATCTGGGGACGGAGTAGGTCTCGTCAGTGTACGACAGAGGTTAGTACATGGACTTCCTACCTGACAATAACAATGTGGGGACGGAGTAGGTCTCGTCAGTGTACGACAGAGGTTAGTACATGGACTTCCTACCTGACAATAACAATGTGGGACGGAGTAGGTCACGTCGTCAGTGTCTGACAGAGGTTAGTACATGGACTTCCTACCTGACAATAACAATGTGGGGACGGAGTAGGTCTCGTCAGTGTACGACAGAGGTTAGTACATGGACTTCCTACCGGACAATAACAATCTGGGGACGGAGTAGGTCTCGTCAGTGTACGACAGAGGTTAGTACATGGACTTCCTACCTGACAATAACAATCTGGGGACGGAGTAGGTCTCGTCAGTGTACGACAGAGGTTAGTACATGGACTTCCTACCTGACAATAACAATCTGGGGACGGAGTAGGTCGTCCAGTGTAACGACAGAGGTTAGTACATGGACTTCCTACCTGACAATAACAATCTGGGGACGGAGTAGGTCTCGTCAGTGTACGACAGAGGTTAGTACATGGACTTCCTACCTGACAATAACAATGTGGGGACGGAGTAGGTCTCGTCAGTGTACGACAGAGGTTAGTACATGGACTTCCTACCTGACAATAACAATGTGGGGAGTAGGTCTCGTCAGTGTACGACAGAGGTTAGTACATGGACTTCCTACCTGACAATAACAATCTGGGGACGGAGTAGGTCTCGTCAGTGTACGACAGAGGTTAGTACATGGACTTCCTACCTGACAATAACAATGTGGGACGGAGTAGGTCCGTCAGTGTAATGCGACAGAGGTTAGTACATGGACTTCCTACCTGACAATAACAATCTGGGGACGGAGTAGGTCTCGTCAGTGTACGACAGAGGTTAGTACATGGACTTCCTACCTGACAATAACAATCTGGGGACGGAGTAGGTCTCGTCAGTGTACGACAGAGGTTAGTACATGGACTTCCTACCTGACAATAACAATGTGGGGACGGAGTAGGTCTCGTCAGTAACGACAGAGAGGTTAGTACATGGACTTCCTACCTGACAATAACAATGTGGGAGGAGTAGGTCTCGTCAGTGTACGACAGAGGTTAGTACATGGACTTCCTACCTGACAATAACAATGTGCGGAGTAGGTCTCGTCAGTGTACGACAGAGGTTAGTACATGGACTTCCTACCTGACAATAACAATGTGAGGAGTAGGTCTCTGTCAGTGTAGGTCGCCAGTGTACGACAGAGGTTAGTACATGGACTTCCTACCTGACAATAACAATGTAGGGACGGAGTAGGTCTCACAGTCAGTGTACACGACAGAGGTTAGTACATGGACTTCCTACCTGACAATAACAATGTGGGGACGGAGTAGGTCTCGTCAGTGTACGACAGAGGTTAGTACATGGACTTCCTACCTGACAATAACAATCTGGGGACGGAGTAGGTCTCGTCAGTGTACGACAGAGGTTAGTACATGGACTTCCTACCTGACAATAACAATCTGGGGACGGAGTAGGTCTCGTCAGTGTCACGACAGAGGTTAGTACATGGACTTCCTACCTGACAATAACAATCTGGGGACGGAGTAGGTCGTCAGTGTACGACAGAGGTTAGTACATGGACTTCCTACCTGACAATAACAATCTGGGGACGGAGTAGGTCTCGTCAGTGTACGACAGAGGTTAGTACATGGACTTCCTACCTGACAATAACAATCTGGGGACGGAGTAGGTCTCGTCAGTGTACGACAGAGGTTAGTACATGGACTTCCTACCTGACAATAACAATCTGGGGACGGAGTAGGTCTCGTCAGTGTACGACAGAGGTTAGTACATGGACTTCCTACCTGGCAATAACAATGTGGGAACGGAGTAGGTCTCGTCAGTGTACGACAGAGGTTAGTACATGGACTTCCTACCTGGCAATAACAATGTGAGGAGTAGGTCTCGTCAGTGTACGACAGAGGTTAGTACATGGACTTCCTACCTGACAATAACAATCTGGGGACGGAGTAGGTGTCGTCAGTGTACGACAGAGGTTAGTACATGGACTTCCTACCTGACAATAACAATCTGGGGACGGAGTAGGTCTCGTCATTCAGGAGAAACTGCTCATCATGTGAGAATGGAGTCTCACTTGTACTTGAGCAGCATGATAATTAATTTTGTATCTGTTTCTCACGGAGACAATGTGCCCTTCAAATCACTGATTCTAGGGCAAATAGGCTGTGACTAATACACTGTATGATTTGTACAACTGAAGGCTTAAAGCCAAATAAGTACTGCACTGTAGAACCTTGCACTGATAACCATGGCAACATATTGTTTGCTTGGCATTACAAATAGGGCTCGGACAGTCTGTGTTGTGATTTCTGTCGGAAGTTCAGGTACTTTGTATACATGGCTTCTATGCAAGTGCTAACAACCCCTGCAAATTTCTCTCCCTGTGAATATTACAGAGAAGATAGATCTCCAAGGAAAAAACATTTTCACAGGTTTTATGAATGCGCCACAAGTTAGTTTCTTCCGAACATAAAAATGTTAGGTAACCTCAAACTGACTCACCCTTCCAAGTGGAATGGTTTCTCGCCATACACTCGCAACATGAACTTGGCGGAGCAGTTTGGCAGGAATGTGGAAGGAATGATGACATAATGACCGGGTTCAAGCTCAAATCTGCCGCTGACCTCCCGGTAGTTGATGTACACGCCTGACTTGCCGCAGTCCGGGTGGTAGCGGAAGTGTTTGGCCGGGAGTCTGGTTTGTACATCCTCAGTCTGGCCAACAGATACATTGCACATTATTGTCTGAATACTCAACATACACGGCACATTATTGTCTGTGTACTCAACATACACAGCACATTATTGTTTGTGTACTAAACATACACAGCACATTATTGTCTGTGTACACAACATACACAGCACATTATTGTCTGTGTACTCAACATACACAGCACATTATTGTCTGTGTACTCAACATCATGGCACATTATTGTCTGTGTACTCAACATACACAGCACATTATTGTCTGTGTACTCAACATCATGGCACATTATTGTCTGTGTACTCCACATCATGGCACATTATTGTCTGTGTACTCAACATCATGGCACATTATTGTCTGTGTACTCAACATACACAGTACATTATTGTCTGTGTACTCAACATATCATGTCATGGCAACATTTGGTGATAGAATGAATATACAGCATAATCCATCAAGTAGATGAGAAAGGAATGTGAGCACACACTAATTTGGTGATCCAGGTGAGAATACCGCCAAGCTGTGAGCATGCTTCACTCAGTAGGTTTCCTGCAAGCCTACGATTAAACCACTTCAACAAGCCTACGATTAAACCACTTCAACAAGCCTACGATTAAACCACTTCAACAAGCCTACGATTAAACCACTTCAACAAGCCTACGATTAAACCACTTCAACAAGCCTACGATTAAACCACTTCAACAAGCCCATGATTACATCACTTCAACAAACCCACAATTATGGCACTTGAACAAGCCTATAATTATATACCTTCAACAAGCCAATGGTTATGTCACTTCAACAAGCAAAATATTAGATCACTTCAATAAGCCCACATTTATATCACTTCAACAAGCAAAATATTAGATCACTTCAACTAGCCTACAATTATATAACTTCAACATGCCCACAATTTTATCACTTCAAAAAGGCCACGTTTATATGACTTCAACAAGCCCACGATTAGATCAATTCAACAAGCCCACAATCATATCACTTCAACAAGCCCACGATTACACCACTTCAAAAAGCCTACTATTATATTACTTCAACAAGCCCATCATTACATCACTTCAACAAGCCAATGGTTATATCATTTCAACAAGGCCATAATTATGTCACTTCAATAAGCCAACAATTATATCACTTCAACAAGCCTATGATTGCATCACTTCAACAAACCCACGATTATATTACATCAACAAGCCCATCATTATATCACTTCAAGAAGCCCATGCATATATTACTTCAACAAGGCCACGATTAGATCACTTCAACAAGCCTACAATTATATAACTTCAACAAGCCCACAATTTTATCACTTCAATAAGCCCAATATTTAAACAACTTCAACAAGCCCACTATTATGTCAATTCAACAAGCCCACAATCATATCACTTCAACAAGCTCAGGATTATACCACTTCAACAAGGCCACTATTATATTACTTCAAAAAGCCCACAATTTCATCACTTCAACAAGCCCACAATTTTATCATTTCAACAAGCCCACTATTATGTTGCTTCAACAAGCCCACAATTATAGCACTTCAACAAGCCCATGGCTACATCACTTCAACAAGCCCATGGTTACATCTCTTCAACAAGCCCACAATTATAGCACTTCAACAAGCCAATGGTTATATAATTTCAACAAGCCCACTATTATATCACTTCAACAAGCCTATAATTATATCGCTTCAATAAGCCCACAATTATATCACTTCAACAAGCCCATGGTTACATCACTTCAACAAGGACATGATTGCATCACTTGAACAAGTCCATGACTATATCATTTGAACAAGGCCATGATTATACCACTTCAACAAGCAAACAATTATAAAATTTCAACAAGCCCACTATTATATCACTTCAAGAAGCCAATTATAATATCACTTCTACAAGCCCATCATTATATCACTTCAACAAGCACATGGTTTATCACTTCAACAAGCCCATGGTTATATCACTTCAACAAGCCCATGGCTTATCACTTCAACAAGCCCATGGTTATATCACTTCAACAAGTCCATGACTATATCATTTGAACAAGGCCATGATTATATATATATATCATTTGAACAAGGCCATGATTAAACCACTTCAACAAGCCAACAATTTTAGAATTTCAACAAGGCCATGATTATATTACTTCAACAAGCCCATGGTAATATCACTTCAACAAGTCCATGACTATAACATTTGAACAAGGCCATGATTATACCACTTCAACAAGCCAACAATTATAGAATTTCAACAAGACCATGATTATATCACTTCAACCAGCCCACGATTTGATCACTTCAACAAGCCCTAGGTTAGATCACTTCAACAAGCCCACAATCATATCACTTGAACAAGCCTATAATTACATAGCTTCAATAAGCCCACAATTTTATCACTTCAACAAGCCCACGATAAGATAATTTCAACAAGCCCAAAATTATATCACCTCAACAAGACCATGGTTACATAACTTCAACAAGGCCATGATTGCATCACTTGAACAAGTCCATGATTATACCACTTCAACAAGCCAACAATTATAGAATTTCAACAAGCCCATGATTATATCACTTCAACAAGCCAAAGGTTATATCACTTCAAGAAGCCCACTATTATATTACTTCAACAAGCCCATCATTATACACTTCAACAAGCGAATGGTTATATCACTTCAACATGGCCATAATTATGTCACTTCAACAAGCCCACAATCATATCACTTGAACAGGCCTATAATTATAACGCTTCAATAAGCCCACAATCATATCACTTCAACAAGCCCACGATAAGATAATTTCAACAAGCCCACAATTATATCACCTCAACAAGACCATGGTTACATCACTTCAACAAGGCCATGATTGCATCACTTGAACAAGTCCATGACTATATCATTTGAACAAGGCCATGATTATACCACTTCAACAAGCCAACAATTATAGAATTTCAACAAGGCCATGATTATATTACTTCAACAAGCCCATGGTTACATCACTTCAACAAGCCCATGGTTATATCACTTCAATAAGCCCAGGGTTATATCACTTCAATAAGCCCACAATCATATCACTTCAACAAGCCCACGGTTATATCACTTTAACAAGCCCACAACTATATCACTTCAACAAGCCCACAATCATATCACTTCAACAAGCCCACAATCATATCACTTCAAGAAGCCCACAACCATATCACTTCAACAAGCCCATGGTTACATCACTTCAACAAGGCCATGATTGCATCACTTGAACAAGTCCATGACTACATCATTTGAACAAGGCCATGACTATACCACTTCAACAAGCAAACAATTATAGAATTTCAACAAGGCCATGATTATATTACTTCAACAAGCCCATGGTTATATCACTTCAACAAGCCCATGGTTATATCACTTCAATAAGCCCACGGTTATATCACTTCAATAAGCCCACGGTTATATCACTTTAACAAGCCCATGGTTAGATCACTTCAACAAGTCCATGACTACATCATTTGAACAAGGCCATGATTATACCACTTCAACAAGCCAACAATTATAGAATTTCAACAAGGCCATGATTATATTACTTCAACAAGCCCATGGTTATATCACTTCAATAAGCCCAGGGTTATATCACTTCAATAAGCCCACGGTTATATCACTTTAACAAGCCCATGGTTAGATCACTTCAACAAGGCCATGATTGCATCACTTGAACAAGTCCATGACTACATCATTTGAACAAGGCCATGATTATACCACTTCAACAAGCCCAGGGTTATATCACTTCAATAAGCCCAGGGTTATATCACTTCAACAAGCCCACAACCATATCACTTCAACAAGCCCATGGTTACATCACTTCAACAAGGCCATGATTGCATCACTTGAACAAGTCCATGACTACATCATTTGAACAAGGCCATGATTATACCACTTCAACAAGCCCACGGTTATATCACTTCAATAAGCCCAGGGTTATATCACTTCAATAAGCCCACGGTTATATCACTTTAACAAGCCCATGGTTAGATCACTTCAACAAGCCCACAATCATATCACTTCAACAAGCCCACGGTTATATCAATTCAACAAGCCCACAATCATATCACTTCAACAAGCCCACAATCATATCACTTCAAGAAGCCCACAACCATATCACTTCAACAAGCCCATGGTTACATCACTTCAACAAGGCCATGATTGCATCACTTGAACAAGTCCATGACTACATCATTTGAACAAGGCCATGATTATACCACTTCAACAAGCCCACGGTTATATCACTTTAACAAGCCAAGAACTATATCACTTCAACAAGCCCACAATCATATCACTTCAAGAAGCCCACAACCATATCACTTCAACAAGCCCACGGTTACATCACTTCAACAAGGACATGATTGCATCACTTGAACAAGTCCATGACTACATCATTTGAACAAGGCCATGATTATACCACTTCAACAAGCAAACAACTATAAAATTTCAACAAGCCCACTATTATATCACTTCAAGAAGCCAACTATAATATCACTTCAACAAGCCCATGGTTATATCACTTCAACAAGCCCATGGTTTATCACTTCAACAAGCCCATGGTTATATCACTTCAACAAGCCCATGGTTTATCACTTCAACAAGCCCATGGTTATATCACTTCAACAAGCCATGGTTATACCACTTCAACAAGTCCATGACTATATCATTTGAACAAGGCCATGATTAAACCACTTCAAAAAGCCAACAATTATAGAATTTCAACAAGGCCATGATTTTATTACTTCAATAAGCCCATGGTTATACCACTTCAACAAGTCCATGACTATATCATTTGAACAAGGCCATGATTAAACCACTTCAACAAGCCAACAATTATAGAATTTCAACAAGACCATGATTATATCACTTCAACAAGCCCATCATTATATCACTTCAATAAGCCCACGATTAGATCACTTCAACAAGCCCACAATCATATCACTTGAACAAGCCTATAATTATATCGCTTCAATAAGTC